TGATATGCTCAAATTAACCTTCAAGCTACTCTCTCAAATAAGAGGTTCGATGTAGTACTTGAGGATCGAATCCACAGAGACCAATTATTACACTTTATTTTTATAGGATCAATATTAAGCTAAAACAATATGGGATTTTTAAATTAAGAAAATAAAACAAGCAAGTAACACGAATTGATTTAGGTTTCAGATTAAAGAGAATGCTAGCCTAGGGTGAAGGATTGGGTATCAAACGATCATGAGCCAAACATCTATTCAAGGTTTTATTAAGCACAAGTCTAGAACTCAAAAGACAAATAAAGATTGACCCACTGTCGTGGTATCTCTCCTTTTGACAATCAGCCTTAATACCTAAACTCTCGTTTGGACTAAAACATGAAAGCAAACATTAAGATCAGATTCGATAAGTTCACAGCACGCCCTAACATCTACTTTCGCTGGTTAGGGACGAACTGCCCATTCAAGTTATTTCTAGCAACCTAAAACACTTTTGATGAATAGATTAAACCTAGAATCATGCACTAAGTAGCTAGTTTAATGCAGGCAATAAGTATGAACATGAATGGAGACAATCAAATAAAGAACCTTATTTGTATTTAGCTCATGGATCTAAACACCCTAACACCCTAGACTAAGCAAGCTGACTACTCAGCCATGAACAGAGAAAACACAGAGATTAAAGATGAAGAAAACATGTCTGAATCAATAATTAATAAGCAAGAGGGTTCAGAAATCTTCTCCAAAGGTTGTAGAGATTCTTCTCCCTCAAAGTTACAAAGTATGAAATCCAAAGCTCTAGAGTTGTTTCTCTGGTAAAAAGTAGCGTAGAATAATGTAGAAAATAGGAAAAGAAGATATATGGAGGCTGCTGGCGGCTGGGAGAGAAAAATAGGAGAATTAGGGCAAATCCCGAAATATGTTGTATTTNCTCCGCTCACTCGGGAACAGTTTGCAGACTGTTCCGCGTGAAAATTCCCAGATTGCACTCTTTTTCTCCAACTGGTCCATCTTCCATCCAAAGCAACTCCATACCTGTAATGACTTAAAAAGGACTAAAAAGACTCGATAAAGACTTAAAAACACTTTAGAAAACATTGTTAGAATATGCTAAAAACACCATATATCAAGCAACTCTCTCATAGAGATTGATTGCAGTTAGTAAGGATCATATCAACAGAAAATCGATATCTCACACAATAGACTTGAGTTTCGACTACGCTAGATAAGATAATATATAAAGTAATAAATAAATCAAGTAAATAAAACAAATCAGGTTGAACAAGGTAGTTGTTTTAAACAGATTGATGAGTAGTTTGATGAAAGGTTGGTTGCTAGAGTGGTTTCTATTCAGGAAATTATGATTATAATAGTATAGAAGCTGAAGTCATATATTGGATATTCTAGAACTCAAACTAAAATAATCTACCAACTCTCGCATATTTAGATTATCTATTGACTAGATCTAAGATCTCAACTGTCGCATGTTGATCTTGAGAAAGTGTCGATCGACGATTATATAGGACTATCGATCGATACTCCTTTCAGATTTTCAATCGATACAACTAATGAGTTTTCGATCGATAATCCTTCTAGCAAGATTTAGCGACCAGGTTTGAACTATGTTCACTAGGTTCCTAGATCAACTCTTGTCTTTCTCTAGCAATCCTAGCACAATATGAATGGTTCATGTAATAGATCATGCTCTCGCTTGCGCCTAATTGTCCTAACATCAAGGTTATAGTTAGCTACTCTAGCACACAAGAAATAAGATCAATTCAATTGATGGATATCACAAACAACTTATTAATATTTGGAGCTAATCCCTCATCCTATCTGAACCCTAAAAATAGCAGGTGGATCTATTCAAGCATTATAGTTTTCATAGAAAACCATAGATGAATAGATATAAAATAAATAAAAGCAATAAAGAAACCAAAGGAGTTCCAGGAGGACCTCTGAAAGAGTTTCTTCCTTCTCTCCTATAAATAAGAACAAGAACAAAGTAAAGAAAGCGTCGCCGTCAACAATGGCTTAGAAAACACATAACCAGGGTTTCAAGTCGTCCAGGCGTATTTTGCTAATTTGTGTTGGCTTATGGGCTTGAGTCGGTATTGAATATACTTGGCCCGTGTTCTGGGATCACCATCGATCGATACCAAGGCAGTGCCGTCGATCGATGTTCCGTCATCTCCTCAACGTCTCACGAGGCAGACATACCACTCGTTAGTAAAACGGTCATAACTTCTGCTAAAGGATGTTGATTGACCTCAAACTGGTGAAATTGGAAGGCTAACTCAAAGTTATATCTTGTGTCAAAAGATGGACTCAATCTAACGATGACAAGATCTCCATCCGTAGCTAGACATCTGACGTGTATGTGCAGTTTTGAACCTCAAAAAGCTCCAAGTCACCAAAGTTCTCCAAAACGTACCTGAACCTGAAAACACTCTAAAACATACTCTAAACCCATATAATAATATATAAAGAGTACATATACCATGGGTGAAAAGAGATGAAATCCATGGTATATCATTAGCCACAGATGTAATAGTTGGGGATAATCTTGAAGAGGAAGGTAATAGGTCCCATACAAAGGAAGCAACTGACAGTTAAGGAACACATTCAAGTGGTCTTCTATTTCCCTGCAATGAGCGCAAGGGAACGGAGCCATTCCACGTCTAGCTAAGTTCAAGCTCACCGGGATCGCCTTCTTTGCAACACGCCATAAAAACATCCTTCAGTGTTGGAGAGGTTTTAACATTCCAAATGTACTTAGCTAGTCGAGATCATGAGGTGTCTTGGGAGAGGTTTTTATAATGCCAACGCCATATCCTGTTTTTGTAATATAGTTCCCAGATTTTTAAAACAGCCAAACCATTGTATCTTCTTAAGGGGCTAACCTAGTAATAATGTATCCCAAGGTCCTCGTACTGAGGTAAGTGTAGCTTGATCATATCTTTGTTCCATGCATTTGTGAGAGGGCATAAGAGGTCATTCTCACGAAGGGAGACCAACACACAGGTTGGGAGCCAATAGGGCGAAGAGGTCATGACAATGACAGCCACGGGCCGTCCCAAAAAATTATATTTTCACCGCTTCCCACCACCCAGCTATGGGACGCGGATGATGGCGCTAAGCATTCTAGGAAAGAAGAGTTCGTTTCATACTTTCCAAGTAAAAATGTGCAACCAGAGAACCCTGTTCCTTAATTTGGCGTCAGCCAATTTTTGCTAGCACATCATCATTGAAAATCTCAATATTTCTGAAGTCTAAACTACCGGCATACTTAGGTAGGCTACTGTGGACCACGACACCCAACACATCTTTTTCTTCTCTGGGTTAACGTCCCACCAGAAGTGAGTTAGAAGAGATTGGATTTGCTTACACAGAGAGACCATAATCTTAAAGCAAGACATAGTGTAGACCAACATAAGCAAAAGAACAGCTTGAAGGAGAACTTGTTCTCCACCCTCGATAGAGAGCGAGACGTCCAACTGTGGGCTTTTTGCTTGATCTGGTCAACTATTGAGGGAAAATTCTCTCTCTTCTTATGGCTAAAGATTTTGGGTAGTCCAAGATATTTTCCAATCCCTTCCTCAGCATCAAAAGCAAGATCTGATTTGACCTGAGTCTTCACTTCCTTGGGTGTTCTCGCTGAGTATGTAACAGAGGATTTTAGATAGTTGACCATTTGTCCCGACATCCGCTCATAGCGTGTGATGATGTTCCTTAGTTTTTGTGACACATGGGCTTCGATTTACAAAAGAACATTGTGTCGTCCGCGAAAAGTAAATGGTTTACAAGAGGGCTAAGACGAGAGACTCTAATACCAGGGATAGATCCATCCCTCTAAGATTTGGCACACATAACATATAAAAATTCAGTACAAGATGAATAAGTATGGAGATAAAGGGTTTCCTTGTTGTATTCCACGAGATGGTTTAAGGTTCCGAGAAGTATTCCATTAATGAAGAAAGAATATGAGACCGGTTACACAGGATTCATAGTCCATATTAAAGTGCTTTAAAATGATTAATTCACTGGCGTTAGGCATATATCTGTTCCTGATTAAGCTCTAAAAATATCAAAAGCTATTCAAATGTATTAAACTGCTTTAAAATGCTTAATTAACCGAGACTTTTGCAAAGCTGATGAGAATCTTCAGAGGTTTGTTTTGATCCCAAGTCACAAGCAGATGAAGCCATTTCTGTGGTTTCTCTATGTGGCATTAGTTCTTCTCCCAGTGCAACTCATACGTCTCTCACCATGTAAGCAAATGTGTAATTAATTAATGAGAGAACTCACATTGCTTAACAACCACATGAAACCACCTTAAGAGCAGAGCAAACAGCAAAACCAACATCCTTATGAAATGGAGATTGGGAAGTCATGCCTTTTAGCAGGGAAGTCATGCATTTTAGCAATAAAGCTCATGGATACAATACTGTGTTTTGACCCAAAAAAAAAAAAAACAGTACTGTTTATTGAACATAAAGCTATAAGACAACAATCTAAATAAAGGTTTTAAAGACACAATCCAGTGCAAATGTTTTAACACCGAAGTGAAGTTAATGAGACAATAAATAAGCACCTTCAAGTCTCAGGGAATCGCAATATAAGCAGCACTATGCGCTAGATAGATAGTCCCCTTTTGTAACAATGCGTATCTTAAGATAATGTTTCTATTGATTCAAAACAAGGATTACAAAAGAGAGCCTTCCACACGAGAGACTCTTCTCTCTTTACAACCACTTGATCAAATCATTGATATCTCCCCTCAAAATTCTTCCTTATATACTAAATACTCACAGTACTCTGACATGTCCCTTATTCTTATTCCTTTATGTACTTCTAGAAGGTAGACAGCACATCTTCTTCTAGAACCTCTTCACTTTGTTACTTTAGTTGGGCCTTTCCCTTTCTCCTACCGTATCAGCTTTCTCCTTGTTAATCGCGTCCCAGCGCCATACAGTCCCGTCCTCGGAGGCAGCAAGAATTGTGCTACAATGCCATGGAAAAAAACAGAGTGTGTCAG